TGGCTTCATTTTTAAGTAGGTTATCTTTCACTGGAGGCAAAATGACTATCAGGATCTCCAGATTTATGTTACGTCATACAGCAACCTCAGTTTTATAAAACACAACAAAACTTCTTCTGGGAGTTCAACAAATGTCTCAGGATTGGGTCTCCTTAATCTGGCTGGGTCCACATGCCATCCCTGTGGTCTGCTATTCCTCTGGTCTGAATGGCCAGCCCTGGTGGCCTATTCCTGCAGATGTACCATGTGGATTCCATAAGCTAAGAAGGGACAACCCAAGGAGCAGCTGGCAGGAAAGGAATGCAAGCTGACAGATATCACTAATGGAATGCCCATGGCTCTCCTTCCACTTACCTGTTTCCTCCTCTTTCAATCAAAAGCCTATCAAAACTGGGTTCAGATATTATCTTCTGCAAAAACCCTTCCCATATTCCATGGAATTGTTTACTTGAAAATGGTTAATTGACAAAAAAAAAAAAACCAAAAAAAACCTCTTCATAGAGTCTCTCCTTTTGGTGTAGAAGCCCTTTCTGATCCTCCCACAAACTCTTATGTTTCCCTCTAACACTGAATTGATTACACTTTTTGAAACTCTCTGTCCATATGTTTGTCTTAAGTATAATAAATTCCCAAAAGGCATTTTATCCTTGCCATGTAGGAAAGTCTCTGGCACAAAACAGTAAAAATTTATGAAATTAGGCTGTTGTTGTTGACAGAGACAGTTCTTCTCTCTCAGGGTGTATCAATCAGTCCACTGCAACATCAGTCACATTGAATTTACTCTGAAATAACAATGAAACAATCTCTAGCAAAACTCCCATCTTTAATGTCTCTATCTTACCAACAGAAATTTGAAAACTCAGCAACTGAGAAATGCATTTTTACCTAGTCAATGGAATTCAAACTCAGACAAGAATAGCAATATAACAACTGCTAAAACTACTTTAAAATGACTCATTAGGAAGCACAAGTCCCTCTATTCAACAAAAAACCTAGTAAAATAGCTAATTCATCTCTAACTTCATTTATATTTTCTATTCATCTTCTGACTTCACAAGAATGGAAGTTTTGTATTCTACTATGATCAATACCTCATGTAAAAATAGTTACAGCACAGCAATGCATGACTTTTCAGATGATGTTATTTTTGACATTGCTGACATTTACCATTACTTAAAATATACTAACTGCATTAGTAGAGTCTGGAGAATACTCCTCTGTATCTTGCAAATGTATATATGCTCTGAGCCTAATGCTCGTATGGCTCCTCCTCAGCCTCCAATGAAAATGAGGTGTATCCTACAAGAACCCAGTTCCAACATGTCTGGTTTCAGAATCACCCACTTCAAGTTGGTCTCCTGTGATCAAGGTCTTAAAAGCTGTACTGAATTCTACATTCAGGTCCCAACGGTTCAGGAGAGACTAATATCAAGGCTCTAAGACAGTGGTCCCCAACCTTTTTGGCACCGGGAACCAGTTTTGTGGATGACAATTTTTCCACGGATGGCAGCGGGGAGATGGTTTTGGGATGAAACTGTTCTACCTCAGATCACAAGGCATTAGATTCTCATAAGGAGTGCGCAACCTAGATCCCTCACAAGCACACCCCACAGTAGGGTTCTCGCCCCTATGAGAATCTAATGCCTTTGGTGATCTGAGAGGAGGTGGAGCTCAGGCGGTAATGCTCACTCGCCTGCCTCTCACCTCCTGCTGTGTAGCCTTGTTCCTAAGAGGCCACAAACTGGTATTGGTTCATGGCCTTGGTGCTGGGGACCCCTGCTTTAGGGTACAGGAGAAAGTGAACTAATATTAATAAAGGAAGGCAAACTAATATGAGTCGTGTGAGGCATGGTGCTGGGTATCCTACACACAGGTGGAGCCCCACAATATGCTATTGCTCATTCAACATGGCGTCTTCCTCCAGTGTCCATCAGCAGTTGGGTGTCATACTGGAGGGACATGCACTGTGAGGACATCCCAAGAGATGGTACAAGTAGGCAGAGAACCATATTTGCTGTTCTTTATAAAAAATTAGGCACATTTCAAGAATAGTTTTGCCCACACATGTTTCTCATCTTCTACCTGACTATTCATCTAATCCTTGCTTGAGATAAGATGTGACTGCACTGCTCAGTGCCTCAGTCAGTTATCACAAAAACTCTGAGAGGGTTAAATTATTACTGGCCCAAATTTATAGGTGAGAAAACAGTGCCTCAAAGGGGTTAAGTAATTTTCCCATGATAATGTGCTCAAAAACTACAAAAACTCTCTTCCTCCTTACAAAGTTTCTAAGACCTATCTTCAGGGTATGTGGACATAACAAAGAAGTTGTACTTTGTATTGTGTGAAAGAATCAATCCTCTCTAGCCAAGGAGCTTTTTGTGACATTACAATAGCAATTTAGATCAGTAGTTTATGTCATTAAGGAAAGGAGTTCACATTACAAAACACGCTGCCTCTTAATTGTTTAAGAGTTTAGACCATAAGTAACCCATATTTAGAGAGCAAAACCCTGGTGTCATTGTGTTTTTTCCCAGTAGCATCCTACAAATATTATCATACCCAAGAGACGAGGTTTTTTTAAAGAAATTTTGCATAACTCTTAAAAAGATACACAATCCTAAACTTCATTTCACTGGGATTTTTAAATAAAATAAAAATTACAGATGCTATTTCAAGATATGCTTTCTCAAATACTTTTCCAAGTATAGCATACCTAACACAGAACATAGTTTACATTTGTCCACGGTGAGGCTTCAAAATGAAGCAATTAGATCAAGTTCAGGGGATAATTTATTTTCTAAAAATTACGTGGCCTTTCTTTTTAATTCTATTTATGTGATGTATCACATCTATTGACTTATACATGTTAAATGATCCCTGCATCCCTGGGATGAAACCAATTTGATCATGATGTATTATCTTTTTGAGGTGCTGTTGGCCCAAAAGCTATTGGAATAAAAAAATATTATATAATAAAGAGAGAAAAAAATAAAAATTATGCAGAATATTTCTGCTTCAGGAAACTACTGACCCATTTTTTATCTTTTAAGATAAAAACATTCTTGTATAGCAAAAACATTTATCTTAAAAGGTACATTATAATTTAGTCAAATTTGATAGTCATGGGTTTCATAAGCTGCAACAATTATTACACTTGATAATATGATGACTGAAAAGCAAAAGAACATTTGGTATCTTAATATCAATTTAAACTGCACCCAATCATGATGGCACAATTGCCCACAAAGCTGTTCTAGCTGTTCCTTACACCTCTCCTCTTCTAGAGCACACCCAGCCAGTGCAGGAGAGGATGTGCCCAGCACAACTATGTCCACACACCAACTCAGACAAGATGAGGTTGTTTTGACTTAAAGGGTACACAGTAAGCTTCATGAAATGATTTAAATAATCTTCACACAGGCCTTAATTTTTCTCCATTTGCTTCTTTAGTTTAGAAAACACTGGTTTTATAAGGAACTGGGTTTTGTTCTTAGCTTCTCTGTATTTTAATGTCCTGCTGGACTGACCTGGTCTCTACCTGATAGCCTGATGTCTGAGTCAACTCCAACCTCTGCAGAAAGAAGCAGGGACCTGTAGCCCTGTCACTCTGAGAGGTTTCTGATCTCTTACCAACCCTCTCTGAGGGCCCTGACTTAAGAAAACAAAATGCTTAAAAATAAAACACCAAAGTATTCATTGACAGCTTCAACTTCATTGTGGGAGACATTCTCTGATGTCATGAAAGCAGCATGCCAGGGAGGCCACCCACCAATTGATTTTTGAAATTCCTAGAAGCCATAGAAAAGGGCTCACCTCTGCTCTAGGAGGTAAACAGTAATTCATAAGGTATTTATTAACCTAGAGGCTCCTAACTAGAAAAAAAAAAAATGCAGCCTTTTAGTATATTCCTAGATATCTCCTCATTCCCCTTTCATTCCTTAGTTTGTTTCCTCCCTTCTTCTTTCTCATTTACACAGAATCTCAGGGTCAGAAGAAACCTCGCTGGTTAATTCAACCCTTCTGGCTATACATTCTCCTCTCTTTTTATTTCTCTGCATCTCCGTGCCCCAGCTTGCATCCCCTCTTATCTCTGCAACTGTTCTTCCTCCTCTCATTTGTTCTGAAATTGCTGCTGCCTACATGGTAGGCACTCCTGGGTATACATAGTAGGACCAAAATCAGTCTGACATGAATGGTTTTGCCTGGGTCATTAACTGAGGTCCAGGACTGACTCCCCAAAAAGAACGACCTAATCTTGTAGTCCTCTGCCTGTCTTAATACATGAAGGCAAGACTAGGCAATCAGTTATTTGCTGAGCTAATGGAGGAACAAATGATTGCTTATCCAAGCAAACAGTATATCATATCATTTTCTGTTAAAGTGAAAATTCATCCCTAGGAGAATTAGGGAGGAGCTTCACGGGTCACAGATATCTTATTACCAATTAATTTAAGGATATTGCTCCTTCCTAATGGAACTAGTCATAATTTAAAAAAATGGGAGTTTGTAATAAGATTGAAGAGGAAGAGGAGGATATTTTGGAGCCTGGAATATTCTATATGGGGAAATATGGGGGGTGGAGATGGGGGTTGGGAAATCTGAACAGTCCGAGGCAACCTAGAGACACCACTGGTACCTAAAGACAGGCGTGAGGAGGCACCAGGAGGTGGGAATGGCACACAAAAGTGAAATACAGCAACAAAATTGAACATGAATGCTATTTTTTGATGTAGGTTTATGTAGCTATAGTCATAACACCAATTCATATGTGCTGAATTGGGAAATCTTGCATTGAGTAGTCGATAAATAAGTAATAACTAAAGTTAACAGTGAATGTAGGATCATCACCATTTCGCTATTTTAATTTTCCAAACAAAACAAACAAGAAAAAAAAAAAAAACGCTATCCCATAAGACGGACTGGGCTTGACACTTGGTTGCTCTGACAATGAAGGCCCAAAGAAAAAGTTTAGATTTTACTGGTGTCAAAGTACTCACCGCTTCTTTAAAACTGGCTCACTTAAATATATCTGCCTTATCCCTTTTTGATGTCATTTGTACGATTCAGTTTTGCTTTGGTTTCTGGTTCTGCAAATTGTTAGTTCCTGCAGATAATGACAAGTAGAGGGATTAAAGGAAGTTCAGGATGATGAACAAACAAAAAGCATGATATAAACCAGGCACACAGTAATGTTTACTTAAGGCAGATATGTTGGAGAATTCACTGTTGTTGTTTTCCATTCCAGTCTGAGTATTGTGAGAAATAAAGTTCTCTTTCTTTCTTTCTTCCTTCCTTTCTTCCTTTTTCTGTCTCTCTGTCTCTCTCTCTGTCTCTCTCTCTGTCTCTCTTTCTTTCTGCTTTTAAGAGGGAATTTCACTCCTGTTGCCCAGGCTGGAATGTGGCAGTGCGATCTCCGCTTACTGCTTACTGCAGCCTCCGCCTCCCAGGTTCAAGTGATTCTCCTGCTGCTTCAGCCTCCCAAGGAGCTAGGGTTACAAACACGCTGTCACCAAACCCGGCTAATTTTTGTATTTTTAGTAGAGACGGTGTTTTGCCATGTTGGTCAGGCTGGTCTCGAACACCTGAGATCAAGTGATCCACACACCTTGGTATCCCAAAGTGTTGGGATTACAGGCATGAGCCACTGCGCCTGGCTGAGAAATCACAAAGTATCTTTCCAAGGGCACTAATGCTACTTGGGGAAAATATAAATTTATATCTTTATATAAATGCAAATGATTTAAAAACATGGTTAGATCTGTATAGTGCTATACAGTTTACAAAGTACTTGGGCATTCATTATCTCCTTTGATTTTTGTAATTTTTTTGTATCTCTAGTTCCAAAATGAGAAAAGTGATGCCCAGAGGTCTTGTGTAGCCAGTACAAAAACATATGGTAACTGGTTTCAAAGCTAGGACTCCAACCAGGTTTTGATTTTATTTTTGAGACAGGGTCTCACTCTGTCACCCAGGCTAGAGTGCAGTGGCACCATCTTGGCTCACTGCAGCCTTGACCGCCTGGGCACAAGCAATCCTCCCACAGCCTTCCGAGTAACTGGGACCACAGGTGCACACCACCACACCCAGCTAATTTTCATATTTTTTGCAGGATGGAGTTTTACCACGTTGCCCAGGAGTGTGGTCTCAAACTCCTGGGCTCAAGCAATCCACCTGCTTCAGCCTCCCAAAGTACTGGGATTACAAGTGTGAGCCACAGTGCCTGCCCCCAACCATGTTATTTGACCTCTAGCCCAATGTACTCTTACATCAGCAATGTCTTCTTGTTTTCAGAACTGAACTAATTATATCTTGGACAAGAATTAACACTTTAAAAACATTCTAAAAATACAAAGTAGCTTTAAAAATAACAAAGTGATTCTTGCATTCTTATCCTGTCTTTCTAATAGCTCAAGTGTCAAATGATACCTTTCTGTCTATTGGTATCCCAAAATAGTAAAGTATAAAAAAAAATTGGAAACAAATTCCGAACCCGCTAATGTCCCAAAGCTTTCATGAGTAAAAATACATTAGGATTAAGGAGAGAAGCTACAGAGGAAAAGTGCTATCAGGAAAACATCACCTTAGCTGTGTCTTAATAATCACACAAAGACAGCTAGCATCAGCCATATATGTGTCCTCAACCATCTGTGTTCTCAACCCTTGCTTTTTTGCCTTGTAGCAAACTTTGCTAATTTCACAGTACTGTACAATACTTCTTGGTATTATGTGAAGTACTCTATTTAGACATGTTGACTTCACTAATTAGTCTATAAATACTTGACTTTTAGCCACTGCTTTAGTAAGTGAGATAATTGCTGAGGAAAGGCCAAAGCGTTTATGGTCAATCAGATGAGGAAAAGGGGAATATGGTCTTTCAGCTGAGTAAAATGTAAAACATTACGTAGCAAGGCAGAAGCTATTAGCAGGATCAATATCTCTGCTAGTACCTTCATAAATCATTACATCAAAGCCCCGACAGAGGATGGAGAAAACCTCAGTCTACCTATGTGGAAGCTTCCAAACTGGAAAATAAAATTCCATTTAAATTACAAAGACCCAATTCCTGTACAGTGGCAATGACAAGCTACAAAAGGAGTCTCCAGATCCTGGATGTGCTAAGAGTTTTGAATCATTAGTGAAGGGAGAAAAGCAGAAAGACAAAGAACACTGCTACTCTCTGGGTTGCACGTTCATAATTCGCAAACGGTAAATATGTATGAATCTGCTCCACTGCAGCGAGGGATGACATACTGCTTTTTAGAGACAGCACAGAGCAGAGAAATCAAAGGAGAGGAAGGTTTGGCCGTTATAACTTACCTCCTCCCACATTTAACAGTTCTCAATCTTCTCAAATCTCCCCTTACTTAAATTGCTCTCCTTTGGGGGATGGCTTCCTAAAATGAAAAGAACTTTGATACCAATGAATGTTCAATGTATAGCAAAAAGTATCCCATGGTGAGCTCTCACTGTAACATGGGGCGTAAATAATTGTATTTTTCTAAATCTTTAATCGCTCCCGTTCTCTTTGATGCTTCCAGAAAAACAAGCAAGCAATTAAAAGAAGTTACTAGGCTAACTTGTCCAGTTTTTTTTTTTTTTTTAACTCAAGAACTAATTATTTCTCTTTTCTAACATGTAGCAAAAGACAAAAGAAACATTTTGCAGAGATTAATATTATAGAACATTAGGCTTTCCCTTAAGGATGCTGTATTTCCTTACTTACAGAGATGATAGTGAATATAGACACTATTTTGACTTCACCACAGCTTTTGCTTTGTAGTCATACTGTTTAATTAAAAACAGTTTTTTTTTCTTACAAGCTCAAATTACTCCACTGTAGATCTCTCAACCTCATAGCAAGTTGAAGCTGAGAACTAAGAGGTCACATCAGGAAATTTATTTACATAGGTCATAACTGGCAAATCAGCAACAAAAGAAAGCAGGGTTTCCCTACATCTTGAAACATTCATTCATGATTAATTAATTCTTTCTTGCATTCCACAATTATCTATTAGACACTTGAGTATCATGCTTGGGCTTGATGATAATTATATCAAAGAAAGTTCCCAGAAGGTTCTATTCTCAAAAGAGTCTGACCATCTAAGTGGGTACGTAAGTCACCCAATACTTAAAAAGTTAGATAACATTAGAAGATGTAAATTATATAAAGGTTGATTGTCACAAGTGCCATATATGGTTACGTGCCAAAGAAGGGCTACAGTAAGCTTTTATAAAGAAACCTCTATTAGCAGGGGTTACCAGGGAAGGGACTAGGGGAGAGGGTGAAAGACCTGAGCTATACAGAATTTGAACAAGTGAAAAAGAAAAGACCACACACCTCAATCAGGAGAAAAAGCCGGGGCGAGCCAGTGCAAGCACACAGCGCAGTGCGAAGCAGGAGAGAGTTCATCAGTGGTGGGTCAGGACAGAAAAGTCCCACCCCATCACCCAGGAAAGACAGTGGCTGGACTGCATGTCTTAAGGTAGGAAAGTTTTTACTTCAGATGGGAGAGAAATAGAGACTCGGGAGAATTCTGATGCCATGTCCAAGTCCAAGACCATTTGGGGAGTCAAAATTGTACAGGAAGAAATATCTTCTCTAGAAGAAGCAGATTTCATTTATGGCCAGAAGGTGGTAGGGGTTTCCATAAAGCGGTCTGAGGCTATCAGGAAGCCTGTTTCTTATAGAAAAGGGGTTTCAGAAGACCCAGGGACAAGACACAATTTCAGGAAAGGGGCACTGGGAGGATGGTTCTTTTAGCAGAAACTTCCTGACAGGAACAGGGATGAGTGCCTAAGGGAGGAGCTCCTGCTTGGGAGAGGCAAGAAAGGCAGAAATGAGAAAAAAAGAGAAAAAAAATGAGAAAGGCAGGGTGGCTTTGACTGATCTTCCTGTTCTAAATGGAACCTGGTGTCTTGCTGGTTCAGGAGCCTCATTCTGGGCTAGAAATAGCACCCCACTACCACTTCACCAGCCAGGTTCGAAACTGCATAAGAAGTTGAGCTGAAAACAGGAGATTCGTTTTGCATGCTGCATACCCATAGTTCCAGCTACTCAGGAGGCTGAGGCAGGAGGATCGTTTGAGCCCAGGCATTCGAGGTTGCAGTGAGCTATGATCATGCCACTGCCCTTCAGACTGGGTGACACAGTGAGATATTGTCCCTAACAGAAGTTTTAAATTTTTAAAAAATTCATTTTGTGGTTATAAGTACAAAAAACCCCCAATAATGATGAGAAAAAAGATATAGGAAGATTTGTTGGTTAGGAGATCATAGCTGACAGGGTGTGTACTACTTACTACAACTGCTCTTATCCCACACTCACACTATGTCTTGTCTTAAGAAGTTTAAGCAAATCTAGGCCCAGTGTCCCACTGAGGGAAATCACAAGAAGACTCAGAGAGGTCCCGTCCATGAGCGCTGCACCAGGAGTACATGCTACTTGGAAGGCTGCTTCTGGGGTCATTCTGAGAGCTGGGAAACCAGCCTGGTGCTGAGCTGTCAAGAAGGCAACATCTGCTGATTCTGGTACCACTGGGAAGAACAGGACACATCTTTACTAGGCAACTGGCTGCTAGTCAGCAGCTGCCCCTTCTGCTCCCCAGTAAGCACCTTTCTGATTACTGTCAGTTTTATCAGCAGAATGGCCATCAGCTGTTGTGTTGCTGTTGGGGCTTCACTGGCTGGAAGAATTTTGCAGTCTCCAGTCTGAACTATTCCTCTGGGTGTCCTTATTCAAGCAGCAGTTAATTTGAAAACAATTAGCTGGTTGTTCACTTCCTTAAGGCAAAGCAAGACTGGATGGGCTATCAGGTTGGACTAAGATTCCAGCAGAACACTCTGAACGAGCCAGGATGTTTCTAGGATGGGTCTGGTTTGTGTTGGCCTCAGCAGAAGTCTAGCATGTCTAACCCTGATCACTGTGAATTAGTCACTATTTCCCTTAGTCGCTCTGGCAGGCTTTCATTTATTTTTGCCTGGGTGACAAGGAGGCACTTCTGCATTTCAACATTAAACAGACTGGATGATTCATTTGTTCTCTTCCTTTTTTCACTCTTCCAGGTAAAGGGAAAATGGATCCTTATGGTGAATTATAGATGAGAA